GAGGCAACAGTGGAAACACAGGGCACTTGGTCTTTATACAGGTTTGTAGGTAGATTCTTTGTATGCTAAAGTTAAGGTCAAGCACTTATTCTAAACAGTGATAATGCTGTAGTGATGCAGTTTTAAATGGGACTCATAATTGATGAAGAAAATAAATCTACCTTGACTGGCCTTGTCTTCAGATTGTTTAATATTTAACCTTTGAAAATTCTGTGATTTAATTTCAAGCCTTATGTTACACCAAACCTGAGGGAAAATCATGTTACACTAAGTGCATGTTTTCATTAGCAGTATGTGCGTGCTTACTCATACTTACTCACATTCCTGTGTGTGAACGAGTAAGTATTTGTGCTCTTTCTCTACTGTATGTATGTATAATCCCTGCAAAACCACTATGCATTATTAACAGGTTCCAGGAATCGTCTGCCATAATCCATTTCACGTTGTTGTTATTAGCCCTCCATAGCAGAGAAGGAATTTGGGAACAATCCTAACTGTCGATCTACAGAGGGATAAATAACTGCATACACACATAAAGTACAAGCACGCAGACCTACACACAAGGTCAGCATACAGAACAATATGACCAGCATAGTGTAGCACATAAATAGTTGACTCTATGCCCAAGAGGCATGCAGTGTTTTGTTTAACATGTCCTGATGAACGAGGTTGACCTATTTGAATCATCCTTTTGTAAAAATGGTTTGTTCGCACTCATGCATCAGCCTCTTTGCTATCCAGAAGAGAAAAAAAAAGCTGCTTTTTTGGTCCAACCTCTTGGATGGAACATGTGTAGGTGTGTTTGTGGTAGATTTGTTGGACACAATCCACAGTATGTTTGCAGATTAACTGTACTCTCCCTCAGCTTTATGAACTGTTAACAGATCCAACCTTAACTGCTCCGCCTAAAGTGGCACCAAGTGGATTTGTTAGTCTGAGTCAGCTTAAACAGAATAGTTTATGACCGCATCATCCTGTTGACTTTGACTATGTGAAATATTTGTCAAAATCCTCTACATGACAGGACACTTCTGCAGTGGTGCCCCTAAAAATTTTCTATAGGGGTGGCCAGATGGGGCCACTTAAAATCTTGGGGTGGCACACCAAAACCAAAACCCATAACTGCATATAAGGAATGCTATTATGCTGTTGGGGTATATTGGCTAGTTTAAAACTATGTCAGTATAGAGTTAAGGAATCGCATACTAGTATACTTTGGTTTCTTATTTTATAGTTAATGTTTTTAAAGGGACATTTTGTAGCTTTTTCTGTTGTTTATTGACAAAAATCAATGTCTGCATTCATAAATATATCATCATTGGCGTATTATTACCTCCACCAATAAGCTGACTTATTCTCATAGAAGGAGAATTTCGGATTTGTTCGTACATTGGGCGATAAGTAATTTGGTGGGGTTCCGCAACGTTTCGCCATCTTGAAAATACATCTGCCAGCAAGGGACATATAGCACTACCAGTGAATATCCCCGCCTTCGACGTTTACATTGAGAGCCAGGCCAACGCTGCTTGACTGAGAAGCTGAAGGAGCAAGAGGTGCTTCGCTACTACCCCTGCACTACTGCACCATAACAAAGTCCCACTCTTTGAGCATAATGCAGGATCATGCATATGCAGCATCACGGGAGACGGAATCCTTGTTGCTAAGAAAGAGCAAGAGGGAATCAAAAAGGCAATGTGACCAGCGAATTCAAAAAACGAGGGTCAACATCGGAGTAGCCTTTCCCAGGTGGAAAGAGCTGCTGAAGGAGAACGGTAATGCAATCACAGGCCAGCAGTGATCTGAGGAGAGGGATGAGGTGTGTGAGGTGGAGCCACTTGTCAGTTGTCAAAAGACAAGACGTGATTGGTTTATTTTTATTTACACCCGCCCCAACAATCCTACGTTGTAAACACAGCCAGCATGGTGAGGAGGGGGTTTGTCAACTCGTGTATGTCTGTGTAGGAGCCTGAATAAATACTCCATGAAGTATCGGATGACATGGTTTCATCAATCTTAACATTTGGTACACAGCGGCCACTGTTGTTGCAATACACGTTTGAAACAGTGAGGCGCTAGAGTGCGCTATTCGTTTGAATGCAATATACGATTTCAACGTTAGATGGGAGGAATTCCTACACACTGGCTTTAATTATCTGATGTGCATAAAGTAATACTGGTACAATCCTGTTGTTATGTAGCCACACATTAGGCTTCTCATTTTTCTTCATATATGCTGGTTGTTCCCTCCCTTAAAATGACAAGTATACAGCTTTATTTGGAAGAGTATATTGATTAATTGATTGTAGGGATAAAAATTTTTATTGGGGGCAACATTCTCAAGTTGAAGGGAGACTCGTGGGTACCCATAGAACCCATTATCACTCAGATATCTTGAAGCGGGAGTTCAAGGGACCCCATAAGCTATGCTCACATGGTTGGTACCAATGGATGCCTTAAGCTACTACTACTTTAAACTAACTAAATCTGTACTTTCTCCACCTATGCATTAGCTTAAAATCATGTGTGGACAACCATAAATTAAAGTTGATTTCTCATGCTAAGGGCCAGGATTGTTGACGGGATTGTGAGCCGTTAAACTCGAGATATTTCTCAACCTCAACAATGAGTCTCAGCAACAGAGTTCTCTTTATTCAACAGCAGTAAGAAGAGGAGTCAAGCTGCCATCGTAGCAGAGCAAAAGAGCTGCTAAGGGGGCTGGGTTATACAAGCAAAAATGCAATTGGGGCAGAAATGCTTTAATTCCAGGGGCGGTGAGACTGGTTGTCCCTGTAGAAGCCAGCAATTGTATCGGTGCCTCCTCAGGGCACCACTGCACTGATGTTCCTCTTTTCTAATGTCTTTCTCTCGTGTTTCTGTCTTTACACAGTTTATGATTGCACACACACAAGTACAATTGATCCGTAGTTACAGGTCAAGTTAATTTATTGACAGATAACATTAAAATTAAAAATTATGCAAATCACAAGTTCTCCAAGAGGGACTAGAAATAGTCATATTTACAATGGAGAATGTAGCAGTGCTTAAGCAAATCAGCCACGTTTCTGTCACAAACAGACACTTGATTAAAAGTCACATACTTTATATGATAGTGTATCTTCTTTGCAAAAGCAAGAAAAAACCCCCCTCAAATCATGGCATGCCTAAAAATGGTGACTTTTTGGTGTTTTGTTAATCAGCTGTGTCTCTTTTTAAACACTTAACCTTATAGAGCAGTGAGACATTGAATAACAGAGACATTCTTATGAGGGATTATTTTTTTTGGTAACCTTTACCTCCCTGTTATCTATTAGATAGCCAGTCCATGTGCTGAGAAGTCACAGGGTGATGTTGCCCTTAGACAGAAAGATAAAGGAGATAAGAGGGAGAGACAAGTGAATGGTTTCAAGCCACCTCATATGATTGTTGGGCCTCAGGGGAAAACAAGCAACCACATTTCCTCAGAATGCTATTAGAGCAGAGGTTCAAGGACTTAAAGTCAACTGAGGATTAATAAACTGAAGTCGTACCTTGACAAGCAGAAACACATATGGGCGTACAAACTGGTAGCTGGTCTTGCACTGGCAACTTCCTCTAACAAAGCAACCTCTGTGTCATTGCCTATGCAGTATATCCACTACACAAAGGCAGGTCTATATTCTATACTGGGTTATTCGTTATTAACGTGTAGAAGTTCACATTTATGACTTAATGAACATTATTCTTATTCCAGTATGATGTTTACATGTGTAAAGCTGTTTACTTACACTGCAATAAAATCATGCTTGAACAAAGAAGGCTGTAGTGCGCTTACACCCCCCCCCCCCCCACACACACACACACACAGACCTATAAATCTTATTATAGGGAGCTCACTTGAGACATGTGATGTAAATATTAGGCGTCAAAATAAAATGTTGCCCAAGCTTTGTCTGTGACATTATTCCTCTCGTTGCCATATTGCTATATCACACTAGCTAAGCTTAAACACAAAAAGTTGTGTATACATGGTCTGAAGAGTGTTTGGAGGTATGCAAATTGTTATTCAGTATGGAATGTGACTAATGAATTTTAATTGTGTGTTGCCCTGATGTACAGCCTTACAAAGCAAACAAGACTTAAAATAATGTCTTTGTTATACTTCTGAAACTATGTGGAAATTAGACTAACATGTTGTGCTGATGAAGACACCATTCACTCAGCAATTTAAAGGCCCAGTGTGTAGGATTTCAGGGGATATATTGGCAGATATGGAATTTAATTTAATATATATGTTTTTTTTGGTGTATAATCACCTGAAAATAAGAATCATTGTGTTTTCGTTACCTCAGACTGAGCCATTTATATCAGCCAGTCCTCCTCCATGGAGACACTGGATAGAGCCATTGGCATTTTCACATCGGCCACTGTAGTTAGCAGCCCCTCTGTGATGAGCAGCATTGAAAAGAATACAGATTTTTTTTTTTAACATTAACTGCTTTATTAAGCGTTTTTACTGGTTTAAATCACCTGGTCAATTTGTTTGGGAGTGGAGGAGACCTCTGCAGATATTTCAGCTCCCAGTGAAAACCTCCTGAACAATGAACACTGAAGGAACTGGTAGAAGTTTCAGCTGGCTGCAGTCTGTAATCTGCACCACTAGATGTCACTAAATTCCCCTAAATCTTACAAACTATTCCTTTAAATCACTTGAAGGATATATCATATATATTATATCAGCAAACATCTCCCTTTGTGCCACGTGTATGGGTTACACATATAAGGGCTAATTGTTTTCCTGTTGCAAGCAACTGTGTTTAACAGAAAACCACTTGCCAGTCATTGATGCACTGTCAGAAACCACTACACAGGGGTTACACTTTTGCAAACAGACAAAGCAATCATCAGGTGTCAGTACAGGCTACATTCAGTGTTCACTTTGGCTGATCTGCATATCATTTTTCATGTTGTGAAAATCCTTTCCTCCTTTGCTAGTACCTATACTGGATCCTTGAAACTCCAAATGGGATAGCTCATATTTATTTTTTGGGCATGCGTTAACAGCATTGATTCTGATGCAATGGATAATGGAACAGGTTGAAGGTCCTGTGATGGGAAACAAGAATCAGTAGTACCACAAAAGACAAGCTAACCAGCAAAAAAACATACACATCTAACCTTACATAACACAACAAATTTTGTACTTTTTCCACCGTTTGTTTTTCCCCGAAAATCTCCCTGCATAATAGTGTGTTCGTTGGACAATGAACACAGTACTACTATTGTTCTTGAAAGATGTCATATCTATTGTGTTTTACTCAAACCATCTTATTTGAACAAATGAGAACTATTATTTCAAAAATCCTTTCCTACTGGTTTCTAATGTGGTACAACCCACAAGTGGAAAAACAGATGTTGATTGATTTCTTAACATATTTTCAGAAACATTGCATAACCAAAGAAAAAGAATAGAACAACAAAAGTTGAATGCCAGACAGTAACAAATTGCACCTAACCAACACTGGTGCATTGTGTGGAAAAAAAATGGAATGAACACTGATAGTCAAGAGTTTTTTTTTATCTTTTTACAAGTTTTCCTTGAGCCATTTAATAAAGTTGTCTGTCATGCGATGTGCAATGAGGAAGTCAGTTGGCCACACGGTGAACATCAGCCCTCCATGAAATCCTTTGTCATAGTGTTCATGTGTCACCTCGACACCAGCAGCACGAAGCCGTGTGACATACATGATCCCATCATCTCGGAGAACATCATACTCACATGTCAGAATGTAAGCCTTGGGCAGAGAGCGTAAGGCAGTGTCTGGAACCAGGAGGGGTGATGCCCTCGGGTCAGCAATAGATCGAGATGGTCCATCCTTCCCAACTGCCTCCCCTCCGACTCCCTGCACCACAGCAGGAGCACTATAATTATATTTTCTGTGATATGTTTCTGGCAGAAAGGTGCTCCAGTTGACAAACTTCAGCAGGCTGGAAGACTCAGGGTTGTTGTGGGTGTTGGCCATCATGGCTCTGAAAAGGGCCTTGTCACTGGTGAAGTACTCACTCCAGAAACGCACCATGAGGGTGCGCGGCAGAATGGGCATGTCCTGATTCTGCTGATACGAAGGCGTGTTGAGATCCAGAGCCTGCAGCACGGGGTAGATGAGTGCCTGGGCCTTCAACTGAACCTGCTGTCCAGGCTCTTTTTGCAGCTGTGAAGAGAGACAGAGAGAGACAGGCATGTATTCAAAGAAAATTAAAGTAAGTATTACTCAATCTAAAGAAACATGTGCTGAGAATTTTGTAAAACAGCATCATCTGATCACATGAACTAGATTTGTTTGTGTCACACTCAGTGATCATATGTTTTTACTGAGCTGTTTCTGAGCTGTTGAAAGCTCTCAGCTCATGGATGAGAACTGGATTGGTGTGACAGTACAACTGTCCTCTAAAACATAACTTGCTCAACCATATGCCAAAAATGTCTTAAGTATCTTTTCTGATTGTAGGGTCATTTATACAACGAGGATCATTTAGGAAATCCTTAAAACATATCAGCAAGGTAAGAATGTAACCTGTATTCAGGTATGAAAGTGTTGTGAGAGAATAAAATATATTAATATAAAGGCAACTGAACCTATCTTTCTGGAATATTGCCACTCCACTACCACGGTGAAACAAGATATGTTCAATGCCTCGATCCACTTGTAGTCGAATGCATCGTGCTCGGCTGCGCCAGATGCTGCAGGTAGGTTAGCACTGAGTTGCTGAGCAGTGCCGCTTTACATACCTGCCTGAGAACAGCACCTTTTTTTGGGAGACAGCCATGTCCCATGAGGGTAGATCATGGGCTCATCCTAATGACAGTGTGAACCAGTGGATGAACTATGCAAACAGGTTCCTTTTTACCAGCCTGATGTCCGACTCATGATGTCAGTGTTGTTGCCAAACATCTTCTAATTAGAGTGCCCAGGGACATGATGCCTGATCCAGAATCTTGTGAGCCTGGAAGGTGAAGCACTAAATGGAAACCCCTACTCGTCATGGAGCAACACCAGAGGCCTCAAATAGTGATGTTCAAGGCCATAGAGGTAGTGCACCTGTTGCCTAGATTGTGGTGCTTTTCTTTGAGTTGATTCCAACCCCAGGTGTCAGGTGCTGTGTTAACTGGACTGTGTGCAACAAAGCCCATCATCCACAATGGGCCATCAGTTTAAGGTTGTCTAGGGAGACTAAAGTTGGAATTATGCTTCTGCAGAGTTGCACATAAACGCCTTTACAAATCTATGCAGGCCTTGCAAGGCTTTTTATTGGTAATCATGGGACAATGAGGCTCGCAGCTGGGCGCATTGTGGACTTGGCACAATACACAAGTGACTGATCCAACATCCTGTTGGGAAATTTTGTTTTTCTTTGGTCACAAGTTTCTGTGTATTTCTGAGTGATCTTGTAGAGCATACATCTTGTACTTGTCATTGTCCATACTGTATGCTGATACCTCCAAATACTTTCACAGCATAGTGGTTTGTTCACAGTGTCACTAGGGTGAAATTGTTTTCTGATTTCTGCTATATGTTCTTTGTATTATGGTCTTCTAAACCTAACATCGCTTCCTAGTGGACACAAATGTTATACCCTGAGTCCATACAAGTATATAAAACCACCCACAAACATGTCAGAATGATACCCATTTACATTGGCTTATGTGCAGCCCGCAGAGGCATCAAACAGCTTTACACATTCCTTCCCCATTGCTGCAGTAGTCTTAGTACCTTTTGTACTTTAAAGTCAGTTCTTGAAAATCAAAACAAAGGGAAATTCTTGTATCTGGGAACATAAAATATGAATGTAGACATTTCGATGTTCTATGGTGACAAATCAATTGCCCCAGTTGACCATTTTTTTATGAGTCTATCAGCCTCTAATATACACAGAATGATATGCCTAGTGCAGGCCTTCGACCAGCATAGGATGACTTGTGCATTTCTGGTGTTCAGGAGATACCTCTCTCCCTCTTATTTGCCTCCCGTGTCCTGTTACTGCTGTTTCCCATTATGATTCTCAATAGTTGCCGAGGTACAGGAAGCAGAGTACTTCATCCTGACCTTAGCTGGCATTGGTCTTCCATGCCAGCAGCAACAGGCGCCTGGTGCAGGGCCAATATGATGATCATACATAAGCATGAAAAGGAAGGTCATGCCGAGTCCTGTAAAGCCATTGTTGGCTCTTTAGGATAATGTCACAGTTGCTAGAGAAACGTATTGGAAGAGTTGGGAGAGTGTTATCTTTATAGTGCCAGCTCCCTTGGTGCTGAACTGGCTCATCCTAGTACAGTGCATACATGTAAACATTAGTGTGCATGGATGCGAAATCATTGTGATACAAGCAGTGATTTCAGCTCAACGTTATTGTCATTATACTTGGATAAAACAAAACACAGTCTCGTCATTCCAAGTATTTGTACTGTGTGTGAAACTGAAGCTAAGGGCATAGTATCAGAGAGACAAAAGTAAATTCCTAAGAGATTTTCTTAAGACAGCTAAACTCCTCACCTTGAGGAGGGTTATTCTCTGTGCCCTCATTTTGTCTGTTCAGGAACCTGTTGCCACTTGCACTGCTGAAGTTGTAGAGCCTATTTCATTTCTCTTTTATGAGCTTCCATAGATCTGGTGTGATGAAATCCAAGTCCCCCTAATGCCTGGTTCACACTACACGACATTTCTGTCTGTTCTGACAGTCACTATGTCACATTATGCGATTGTGGAGTCATGAAATCGTGCAGTGACTTGACCAACAGACATGACACACCACACATTGGTCCACATCAATCATCCCCGGTCGTCTTTCACGACGTATGTGATGTCATCGGGTTGTTCTTGTCCTATTTTTTTTTTTTTTTTACTTTTACAATTATTTCAGTCACTGTGTCTGTTCATGTGCCAGCCAAAATGTTTTTGTAGTAATCTAAAAATGTGCCAGTAGATGGCAGGAGCTACATTTGAAGTACTGTACACAAACATGCAAGTCACTGATTCCTCCACAACAAGTTCCTGCAAATGTTTCACAATAAAAACCTTTTTTAGAAAATTAAGGGATTCTCTCAACTGAAGTCATAAAAGGCTTTTAATCTGAAACAGATACAGGAAGTGTTGAGTTTGAAATGACGGCATGATGCATTAGCTTTATCAAGGCAAACGGGAGAGGATAAAAAGTAATGTGTGTAGTCTGTTTCAAATGAAGCTGGTAGCCTCTGCAGTTGTGGTGAGTAAAAGCCACTATTTTTTAATTGTTTAATTTTATGTCCGTCTCCATTATAAAGAAGTAACATTGTTTGCTAGCTTGATGCTAATGGCAGTACTCACCGGGTTGATAAAGTGCCTCTGCTGTTTGATGCCATCATTTTTGCGTTTTTACTGTGTGGTAACATCCCTAGAAGAAATATCAAAAACGCTGTGGTGCTGTTGTCATACAGTTGTCTACGGCAGCAGGTCGTTCTGTGTTCCTATTGGTCAAAGTGATGGCTGCGACAGGAGCAGTTGTGAACGACAAAAAGAAAATCAAACATGCTAGACTTTCTGTCGGAATGTCGTGAGGTGTCCTAGATGTGGACACACTACACGAGATGAAACAATGGATTATTGTGTACGACACTCGTTGTTCACAATCCATGCCGACACTGCACATCGTTGCGTCGGGCTAGAATGAGGCTGATATCGTGTAGTGTGTACCAGGCATTAATCAGTATTTCAGTGACATTTTTATGCCCAATGGGAATATGAATATTTATTGTTTTCTTCCTGAAACCTTTCTCCTGAAAGAACAATTGGACCTGCATTTTTTTAAATTATGTATTTTTCTTTATTTCTTTTTCTGCTACTACAATTTGGAATGACCAGTTCCCTGAGTGTTATGTTATGGTATTCATACAGTATAAACAATTTAAAAAGTGTACTATTTATCAAAAGTGAATTTGCATTGAGGAAATTTGTTTAAAATGAATGTAATTACCTGCTGAATAGTTGAGATCTGTCAGACAAAGTCACACCTGTGTATGACAGGCTATGCAATCGCATGTTGGTCACCTCAGACCCAGTGGTTATTTTAGTTCAGGGTAATACAATACTAGGTATCATAAACTGGCTCGTTAACCTTGCCTCACCTCTTCATACACTTCTACAGAACTGACACTAGAAAGAAAAAAATACCTGCTGGGAGACAGCAGCTGCCAGATTCCCCCCAGCACTATCCCCCGACACAGCAATGCGTCCTGGGTCCACAGAGTACTGGGCCAGCACCCCCTTCTGGAGGAAGTGTTTGACCACATGGTATACGTCCTCATATGGCACAGGGAAGTGGTGAGCAGGGGCAAGTCGGTACCTGAAAAAGCAGAAAGGTGCAGATTAAAGCTAGAGCATAAATAAACATGAACTCTGAAGGCCATGTGCACAGACAACATTTTGAGCCATGAAAACATGATGACATTTGTAAGGGATAACCAGATCATTGGGTTAAGGGCAAATTGAACATAGTTTTTCCTAAATAAGTTTGTAAACACATTCAAAAGCAGATCAGCTTTCTAATTAAAATTTCATTTTGCCATGCTTGTAGAGAAAAAATAAGTGTATGACAAAATAAAATAACAAAAAGTTGCTCAATTAGGCTTTAAATTATGAAAGCTGGGGTAATTGTTACAATAGGCTACTACATCTATTATCTACTTATTTTGCAACCTCTGCATAGGCTAACCTTAAAAGACTTAAGTGAAATTGCACAAATGACAATTTTTCATAATCAGTTTGGTGTAAATTCGCCAGATTTACAGTTCTATTAAAACCATCTCTTCATACAACTATATCTTCTGGTATGGGCACAAAATTAAATAGGGGTGGTAAAACAAGGACTAGTAACTTTTTATGAAAAGCATCACCTGGAAATATAAACCTGGATCAAATTACACTGATAAATGTTGCATGTAAGCAATGTTTTGTAATGTTAAATACAAAAAAAACAAAAAAACAATTGATTAAATTGCCAAATTTTTTTAATGTATGGATTTCGTCTTGTGCCACTTCTCGTTGTTATACTAACGTTACAACTGTGTTTTTGATCTATAAAGAGTCACATTAACTATATGACAATGGACTACAACTACATGCATTCAAGGGCCCTGACCAACCAAGCCAACGGCAGGTCGTTGGTCAATGCTGGGTCATGTCGAGCAACTTTCGCCCTAGGTTTTGTGCTGTATTCCACACCTTTTGCACTAGACGTCTTTTTTCGTCTGTTTATCTGCAAATTCAGGAAGCTGAATTGGTGCCACTAAGCTTTAAATTTTGCTTTTTCATCATTGGGTTGTGTTGTTAATGTCCTAACTGGCCAACTTGAATGCATCCTGGCGGTCTTCCAGTTTCCCTTTTTTAGTGACGAATACAGTCTACTGCTGCCTGCTGGAGAGTTGTTTCCTCTAACACAGTTGCAGAACTAGTTGTGCTAGTTGGTTGTTGGCTGTAGCCTTTGCGGTGTGTTCACATACACTTTTGGCAGAGGCACAGACAACGTGAGACAATGCAACAGTTGGCCTCCATTGCCATGAGTTCTTTGATGTCAGTTTGGTGCGTCTGGGCCTTACCGCTCCTGAACATTCTAACACCCTGGCTGTTTCAAATAAATACCTTAAAAGTTTGTTGACTCTAAGTGTACACCTACATTACTGATATAACGTTAATTACATACATTGGCACTGTCCTGAATTGTTTTGGGATTCAGTCTGTCAGCCAAAGGTTACACATAACTGACTGTGATTGTGAAACGCTGGAATTACTCATTGAAGCCTTCACAAATTGCAGACAGGAATTCGAATGAGGCAGATAAGACAAATACCCCCACACACCAAACAGCAATACATGGATCCACTGTGCCTCCCACTGCCAAATACTGTCAACAAGCACAACCACATTATAAGCACAAAAAGAAAGTATGATGACTAAGTATGGTGTTTCATCTCAGTGCTGATTTAATAAAGCTGAAAAATGTTGAGTAATGAATTAGAGGGTAGAGACAGAGTCTTGGCAAAAGAAAGCTACAGTACTGAGAGGCAGAGTTGGTGCCGGACGTGCCAAAGAACAACAATGAGTGTAGCTGTGACAGGGGGAGGCAGGACGAGACCCAAATGAAAACCTTTTAGCTGCACTCTACTGCATCCTCACTTCCATCTAGCTTGTGACTAATGAGGGAGGACAGGCACAGAGAGGAAGAGCTGGGGTAACAGTAGGACTTAACTATGAATAATACAAATAAAACAGCAGTTTGTGCAGTGTATTAAAGCAGCTCCATAGAACTGACTATAAAAAATACAAAATACTTACTCAACAGAAAGAACCACTGCATCTAGCTCGGTGACAATTTTTCTGGCCAGGAGATCATATGGACTCATCACTGCATGGACAGAGAAAACACACATCAGAACAGAGACTCTAAAGCAACAAAACCCACCTTAATTACTGATATCCAGTGACTCCTGATATGCCATGTCACCTTCCATGAAGATAACACTGCAGTAACAGAGATCGGCCTGACATCTAGTCTAACACTACTTCCTGGCATGATCCATGTTTCTGTAATTGTTACAACCGTTCAGCAGATTGCAGGAACAGCATGAGATGTGTCAAACTGCATGTCACGTCTTTACATTTTGGATTAGCACAGTAACCACCCTCTGAGGTTCCCATCGCTCTAGCAGACGGTGTGTTATTTCCTCAGGAAACTGGGAAAGCTCTATGGCTTGATAGTTGGCTCATTATTTATGATTCTGTCCTAATAGTTGTCACAAGGAGTCTATATAAAGCTGTAAAGCCATTTGTCACATCAATTTCAGAATACTATCTCAATAACATACATATATTGTGTGATGAACACATTACCAGAATATGCATTATCCATTCACCCTTCTGTCCTACCATCCATCCATCCATCCAGCCGATCAACTTACTGGAACTACCCAGACACCACCCTCCACCGTGCAGGTATATGACAGCCCTCCTGAGCTCAATGTCACCGCCCCTCTGCTTTGGCTGGTACAGCACCACCTCCACTCCATCAAATTTCTCCTCTGTCACCTTGACATGCTCGTCAGACACAGGCACTACCTTTTCAGCCAGAGTAATGAAGTACATCACCCCCATGTAGTCTTTCAGCCCCAGTAATTCACTGAAGTCTGCCTGGAATGGGAAGCAGCGAGACAGGCATGAGATACAGAGACAGACACATTACAGAATACATCATCGTTCATCAAACCTGAGCTATTAGTTATTACAGTACATCTTATACATACAGTGAAGCTACTGCAGGCAGTTTATCCTATGTAAACAACATACTTGACCGAAGCTCATAATATTCAAAACAGTGACCGTTAAGATACTAAACTATGTGGCCGATGGCCATATTACCGGGTGGGAGGGAGACTACAGTCATGTGAATGTTACAGCCCCCTACAGTTATTTGTTTTGAGAAGTTGCAACTAAATGACACACTGTAAAAGCATGACTCGTACACCATTATGTCTGATGAAGCGGGCAGTCAGTAGCTGGCATGAGGCTTATCAGCTGATGCTCTTCTACTGTGAACACAACACACTCATCAAAGAGGATCCACTCCAAACCCTACATATAATTGCGCACTCATATCAGTCCAAAAAAAAAACACTAAAGCACTCTGTCTCTGTTGGTTTCAAAAGCAAAACTTGGCATTTGCTGAAGTAAAGGAATACTTCACCCATAACGACCATTTGTATATGATTTAAGAACCCAGTTTTATGCTGAGATCATGGCGAAAACCTTTTCTGACATGAACGAAGAACTCAAAAGTTAATTGGTCTGTGTTACTGTGTGATGGTCAGATTCACCAAATTCACACAAAAACACAAACTACCAATCGAGGCTCAAGTTCAAGAGGTAAAATCCCTGCTTTTGTTAATGGAGTCTGGCTTTGAGGAGTACAAAAGACTGTACTCTAGGGATTAGGATTGTGTTTTTGGGGAACTAAGCATACAAAAGGGATAGATGAGACGTGGATTATACTGCATCAATTGTGGGAGAGTTTGTAAACAGACATTTTGATATCGTTTTACTCTTGTTAAACATGGCCCCCAATGACTTCTATTCACCAAGAACATTCTACGTTGCTGGATTCTTTGTTCACCGTGGAGGCATGCAAGAAAAACAAATGTTTTTTGATGAATTCAACGTAACACAGGGTGAATGAGTGATACACAAATAATCATTTGGAGGGTGAAGCATTCCTTTAAAACTACGAAGTGCCTTATAAAACAGGTAACAGTAAAATCCCATAAAGATACACTCGACTATTTAGCATTCAACTTGTCACTTACTATCAGTGTCTGCATCCTCCAAGTGTATTATCTCATTAAAATGTGAAACACTTATAATTACAATTACTAATAATGGTCAAGGAATCAATCATTGATATGAATGGAGGTGTACAGGCTTGAGGGGCATTCATTTGGCTCTATAATGAAATATAGTGCTTGACTCTGAATATCTTACTTTGTATGACACTTCATAATGTTTCATCCTGAAATACTATGAATACTATTCCCCCTACAGCATAAACAACAATGTCCTGAGGCAGCAGCCTGCACTTGCACTTTTTTCCCATTCACTGAAATAGGCTATTTCTTGACACATATGCATTACTCAAACTATTGCAACACCTTCCTAACTGCTGAATGGACTAACTATGCTTTGCTTTTAGTATCAGAGGTGAGGCAAAACAAATGCACTTCTCATTTTTATATTAATGTTACAGCCATGTATGTATTAATGTAAAGCTATATGTAGTCATATTAGCTGTATCACAATGGACTACAGTAAACGCAGGCGTCTAACGGTCATAAACAGACTCGAGTTTCCTTAATAAGTTCTATTATTAGAACAGGTGAGCAGGACTATACAACACATGGATTAGCTTCTGACATAATCTGGTGTAACAAGCATGTATATCCACATCAGCGAAATGCAATAAACCTGCCACCCTGTGCTCTGAGAGAACTAACCAAAGCAAGACAGTGTTGCATGTTTTGATATTTAATGTATGGCTAAATTATGGTATCGTGCATTAAATTGAAATTAGAAACCACTGTGCTAAGGGGATTTATTAACCAAAGTAATCAGAAAACCAAAAACAGAGTTTTCCTTACCAGGTGGCTGAGACTTCTGAAGAAAGAGTTGATCAGCATGAGTTTCCATCTCTCCTCTATCTCCTCGGGAATGGGCTCATAAATATAATAAGCGGTAAAAGAGCAGAGAGCGACGAATAAGATGATGCTTTCAAACCTCATTTTACTACGTGCGTCCCCAGCAACTGACTGCAGGTTGCAAACACAAACAGGCTGGTAGCTGCGCTTGTTAGCAAGTCACTCCGGTGCGCCACAAAGCTTACGCTCGGAATTAATTTTGGATCCAGACCAGCTAAATATTACACCACGTGTTTGGTGTCCTTTGATGGTTATCGGCGTGCATGTTCGGAGCTTTCCTTGGCTGCTGCTCGTGCGCGCTCCGTAATTAATGTCCGTCTCGTGGAGCCGGAGAATTAAATTTTTAAGTGTCAGTGATATGGAGAGAGGAGCGCGCACCCTGCGTACTCACGAGGCAGAACCGTCTCACCTTGTCCCGCACCGCAAATTCCTCAGGTGCCTCCTGAGCGTGTACAGCTTACACAGGACGCGCGACTAAACTTTGTGCCGATGCAACTGATGCTTAAAAATCACAGCCCATGAAACCACAGTGGCTCATGCATCCAGCTTTGTTTCCCCTCCCGATGTTTTGACGTAAAATGCATCTCAAAGGTCAGGAATATTAAGCCTGTGGTGATTTTCTTTAAGGGAAGTCACTCCATATTTCTGCAGCTGACGCACAAGTGTCAGCTGTGCGCTCCACGAGATACCCGTCTTGTGGCTGATCCGCCTGGGGCTCCTGGGTATGTTCTGTACATCCAAGTCCCCTTAGAACGTGAGAAATCCGCTGAACAGGAACAAGTTGTGGCACATAACCCCTGGGCTGCAGCATAAAGAAGTGACTGTAGTGCAGCTAAGCAGCTATGGTTGCAAGGCAGCCTAAGCTAATTATGTTAATGGTGACAGAGCCAGATGAGATGTCTCATTTCCTGGCAGGACTGACTTCCAAAGCAATATGACTCTCTCATGCACTCACGTTTTGAAAGCACCCTGCACATGGCACTGTTTTAGTGCTGCAGGAGTTTAAAAAAAGTTCAGCAGAGTTGTTTTTCCTCCCAGTACAGGATATTATTTTCATTTAGTTTGTCAGTTTCATTCCCATGCCGTCATGAAAGAGGTACAGCACTCACAACAACATGGCATTACTGTGGGAAACTCTCAAATAGGTCCACGCAGGTGAGACTCTGGTATTGTTTCAGGCTGAATTCATTCTCACAGGGATCACATAGGCCAGTAATTACTGACAAACCACTTCCATATCAGAGTTTACAAAAGGAAAAGCCTCTTAGGGCAAATGTATACGCATGCAGTATTCTCATATGACATGGGGGTTAAAACCTCCAAAGCAAACTTCAGGCACTCATGCATTTACACGGAGAAACAATGCAGAGATTTTAAACCAAAGCCTCGATCAAAGTGAAGGCTCTTTGGGTGCCATTCTCTGCTGTGAAAGTGAGTTAGTTTAACAGTGTGTGTTGTATATTTGTCTGCAGGCTTCATCTAAGAAATCTGAACCACATGCCTGCACGTGACTTTGTGCAAACCTCTGTGTTGTGATCCTTTTAAATTTTCTCTCAGTCAGGTTGGAATTTGAAATTGGCTGGTGTTAAGACGCAGGCAAGTGTCTCCTTCCATCATCCATCAAACTCTATTGAGGTGCAATCTGCAGGATCCAGGGTATGACGGAGGCTTGGTGAAAGCCTCTGTGAGACTGATCACTGTTGAGCAGTAGAATACTAAGTCTCTCCTCTGAATACAAAATTACACTTCAGACGCTCCGGGATTCTCCCTGGAATTCCCTCCCTCCTTTTCCAAGTACAACCACAGGCCTCCACTCAGCTTCTAAGGGAGACCACCTCAGTTGGTTAGTAAATCTTTCATGGAGCTCTCTTCACTCTTTGCGTCTTGTCAGTGGGGAGTACGGGTGTCAGAGGGTGCGTGGGTGAAGATGTTGTCTTCATCTAGGTAGAGCCATGTTGAGCGGCGCTGTGCCACGTGGCCGCCCAGCACCCTGCTGTGTGTGGGGGTAGCTCAAGCAGATGTGAAAATGTCTGAAAACTCAAACAAGGAGTTTGAGTACTGTGGGAATCTGTGTGTGAGTGTGTGTTCATGCGTTAAAGTGTGAGTGCTTGTCCATGTTTCATTTCTTTGTGCGTGCACATTCTTGAGTTTAACTCATCTGCAGAGGAACATTAAATTCTTATAATTAAGAACTCAATCCAGACGTCCACAGCCGATGATGTGGGTGAAAGCAAACTTTGTGACTTTTTAATTTGCAGAGCCCCCGCTGAGGCTGAATTACGAAAGGCATCTGAAGGCTCAGGATTCTGAGTTCAGGCAGAGATGAGTGGAAGAAACATTTATTCATAATCAAGACATAGGTTTGGGTGCATTGCTAACTTACACAAACTAATACCAGACACGTTTTATTTGCAGTTTCTCAATAAACTGAGAATCACTAGATGTGCAAACTATCCCATGAGCTTGACATTTGCAAGTATGTTAGAACAGAGAATACAAAGAGCTTCATTCATCCCCAAAGGGAAATTCAGCTGTCCAGCAGCTCATAAAAGACAAAGAACAACAACCACACTTCCCCTCATCAACAACAACAACACAGTGGTATTAAAAAAGATGTGTGTAAGTGTGTCTGACGGGACTCAGGAGGTGTTAAACAGTCTCATTGCCGTGGAGACGAAGGATCTCCTGAAACGCTCCGTTCTGCAACGCAGTGAGATGAGCCGACTGCTGCAGCTGCTCCTCTGTAGCTCCAGCAGGCTGTGGAGAGGGACATATCGTACATTCTCTTACTAAGTTATGTCTTCACAATAGATAAATACAACCAGAAAATCGCCATTCTCTATTGAGCTTTCAAAATATTAAACAGTATCTTCATGTGTTGGTGTGGCTGTCATTAGTTTGACACCACATGTGACTGATGGTACTGATAGTGTCCTAAATTTTCTATATATTTTTTAATTACAAAGAATCAAACCTCAGTCAACGGCTCATTTGTCCACCAGACAGCTGATAAATTATTTAAATGAAAAATACTGTATGTATAGTGTCAATATTCAAAATATTAAAGTCACTGACTACTTGACATTAACATACTGCAGACTTCTTAGTCAAAGACAAATAGTGACACAAAATAGCAGCACAGACATCAAACTATAACTTCCTTATATAGAAATTAAGGTCCAGCAGTCAGACATTTTTATTTAACCATCTATCAAGTCTAGGGGATTTTCAAATTTGGCATATTTATTTGTGAGAAGAAATTAAGCAATAAGGAAAAATGTTTTTTTAAAAATAAGTAAAACCACCAAAATAGCGATGCATGTGAGGAGCTCTGTTTCCAAACATCTAAACAGGCTTTGGGTCTATGAGTGAGAGGTACACAAACCTTACAGTACATTGTAAAGGCCCTGACAGTCGGCTGTCCGACCTTATCTGCTTTGTTTCAGCCTATTCAGCATGTTGAATTGGCGTCGGAGACAGCAGAGCCCATCAGTGAGTGAAATCCCTTTGACTGGCAGTTCAGCTCAGTGCACAAGTAGGGAAATAGAAGTGAGGAAAGTAAACAACTGAAGTAAAGAGGGTGTGACTTTGAAGCAAACTTGTTTTATCAGGAAATATATATTTATATTTTTTTGCCATTTGAGCTCTTTAGCAGAATCTGTTCATAATTGTTTGTGATATCATTCACTGACACATAATAAATAACATTTGTTCTTTCAACATCAGATTCTGCTGTCGTTTTGCTAACTGGCTAACCAGCTTATTGAATGATTACCGCCACCTGCTGGTACGGAGATTTATTTCCTATTATGAATTCCTATCAGAAGGTAAATGCTAGTTCAGTGGTTTCCAACTGGTGGGTCACGATCCAAAAGTGGGTCGCGAGTCCATTCTTAATGGACCTCAAGTGAATTGCTAACATATCTTTGTAAGAAACACACTTTATTCTTAGGTACAGTGAATTTCCAGCACACAGATTTTATTTTGAAGAGCCGTTTCCTGCTGTAGAATGAGTGAATAACAGATAGCCGTTTGACAGAGACAGCAAACTAGCTTAAGACATGGCCAAACGCAAGTATGACTCTGAATGTTTAAATCTGGACCCTGTGGCTAGACCAGTTGGGAACCACTCTGCTAGTTGGCATTCTGGCTGTAGTCTTTGTGGTGTGTTCAAATGCAACTTTTTGCCCGAGACACAGGTGACTTGAGATCGAGGCCTTCATCACCACTTGGTCTTTGATGTCGTTTTGTTGTGTCTGGGCCTTGAAGTACACTGATACTACATATGAAATATTTCGATGTTTCCACTATCAACATATTGTACCTTAGTCCATCAAGAGATAATACAAAACAACTGCATCAGTGTGAAACAGGAAATGCAATGGAGTCAAATACACCAAGTCTGGGCAAGTTTCCTGAATATTTGTTACAGTGACTTATGCTATGATTATGCAGGCTGCAGTACAATAGGGGCATGGGACAGAAAATGTTTCTTTTCCCTGCCCATCAACTTGTAAAGCACTGTGCTTATTTACAGTAATCCTGTGTGGTGGAGCAGGGTAAACCAACTGGTTTTCATTTCAAGATGTAGGCCAGATACAGAGACGCAACCTGTTCATTTGTAATTATAAGCCTGGCAAGTTGCCTCATGCTGTTGATCCATCTTCCTGTCACTTGTCCAACCAACATACCATGCAACGACGCAGCTGAACTTACTCTATGTTCTCATGTCTGTGCTTGATTTTCACTATTTTGTTTTTTCTTGTCAGACCAACTTTGTATGGCTTTGTGTGGGGACCTATTTGTGCCACTAACTTAACAAACAACTACTGAATTAACAGAGATATAAATATAGCACATGGAGAGGAATCCTTACTGAAACGGTTAGGAACTTTGCTAACTGATGGAAAACCCAATAAAATGCATGATGATTGCATAAAAGGAAAGTCTGAAAACACACTTAATATAACCGTTACTAGGTTTATAAGTTCAGGATCCCACGCACATTTTTTACTCAATATAATAAACAGGTTCTTCTATGCCATCACAAACAGTTACCTTACTGATTCTTTCTTGAAAACAAAGCACAATCACTGCAATCAGTGAAGTACCATGTTGTATTGTATTATATTGCATCAGGGTGGAGTCAACCACTGCATACAGAGAGTACAGGTTTTACAAGTGGGAATGACAGAGATGTGTTTATCCCAGCAGCACCCTGTTACATAGTTTGGCCGAGTGAGCCAATGTGATTTCCTGAGCTGGTATTCCAATACAGATTAGCCTGCGAATGGCATGTTTGTTGTTACCTAGAGGGATTCAGGACCTTATTTGGCAAAGGAGTGCAACAAGATATTAAATCAGCAATCAATCTTTTTGGTGCAGGATCTAAGTGAATGAGACAGCATTAATCATTCTGCCAAAGGTTGTAAAGAGCCAAGCTATTGCTGTTTCACATTAGAGATAGAGGATAAAATGTTGCAACTCTGGTGCTAAAGTAAACTTGTTTGTTTTTCTGCAAAACAGGCTGTTTGAGTGTAATCTGCTGTGGTAGTATCTTTCTTTTGGAGCAGCATGTGAACTAACATGTATTTACTAACCTCTGACATGATAAGGCAGGACATTGCATCTTATAGTAAACAAATCCTATGAAATGACTGAAGCCAACAATGGATCCGTCCTACGGGTAACCCCTGACACTGTCCAAACACTGTCTAAACACATTTAGTAAATAAGACAGATGAACATGCGCATGGTAGTTTATTTCAAGTCAGTCCCACATACAGTGTCATGTTGCTGTAAATACTCACTAGAATGTTAAGTGTGTATTAATCCATGGCTGAAAATAGTC